AGTGGAGGGGGCTCGAAAGAGGCTGCAGGGGGAAGAAGTTGGCAGGAAGAAAATTGTGATGAGGCTACCTGACCCTCCAGATTTATTTTCCCTGCTGTAGCAGTGGGAAGGGGACAAATTCAAGGTAAACCTCCAGGAATTAAATTCTTTACCTGGAAAATTATAACAAAATGTATAAAGTTTTCCATATGTGAAATTTTAATTACTAAGGGGCCATCTTACATTCAGGGTTATCTTCTAATCAAGTAAATACAGTAGCTGCATTAACAAGTGGCCAAGTAACTACTTATGATGTGATTAACTGGTTAATCATGTCTTAAGTGTAATGTGTAGCAAGGGCCTTAAGATACTTTCTCTTATTCTCTACATTGTTTTGAGCACCAAAAATCTGAAGGATATATTTTATCCCTAGTTAATACTGTATCTTCCTAATAATTCAGCACATAAGCTTCAAATATTAAATTGAGAGAAGTTTCCTTCAAGTCCAAAATGAAATATCAGTTTATAAAAGGAGAGATCATTTTCGTAATAGCTTCCACACAAAAATGGGCCTATACTCAAAGGCAAGATTACTATATAAGCCAAGGGAAGATGTTACAGATGTGTTACTGCCAACGTTTTGATGGAGTAGAATTCTGCTCATTTAGATCTGGGTGATTTGCAACCCATCTCATTCACAGCTGGGTGCTGAATTACAGAGGAGCCACTCAACTGTTTGCTGCTGTTTTTACTTCAAAAGGGTGCCACTTCTCCACTTATATAGAGCTCATCAATGGTCCCATGCAGCTGGTCTGAGAAGAGGAACCCTATGAAATAAAATCCCCATCATATATAGCTGGATCACCTCAAGGGTCCTGTGTCACTATGTGCTACAGCTCTCTAATTTATCAAGTAATTCACAACCTTTATTTTCAAGTGCAATACAGGGAAATAAGATAAGGAACTTAACCCTGCAAAGTATCTGGGGTCTACTGTATAATTCACTTAACCTAGAGCGTTTCTGTAGGAAATTCTCATATTGCCTTACTTTGCAGTGAATTTCCAATGCACTAACTATTCTGCATAAATCCCTTGCCTGGATGCTCTCAACATGTAGCACACTGGTAGTTTACTAGACTTTGAAAATAGGATTGGAGGTGTAGCCTTATCTTTGGAAAGCAACTAAGGTTGCAGGGAAAGGTTTCAGCAGCTAGCTGAGGAAAATACAGATATCAAGTATCCTTATATTATGAAGTCACCCAAGTCCTAATAAAACACAAATTGTGCTCTACAATGAGGGGAGCTATTCAGCACAGACATAAGGGAGAAAGCATCAGACCAATTTGGCTTGCAGGGCTGCCAAAAGAAGCTGGAGGCTGCTGGCCAAACTACACTACAAAAAGACAGCGTGGAAGTGAAAGAGAGAACAAGAGCAAGTGGGAAAAGGACCAGGTTAGGAAGTGACCACACAGAGAACCAGAAATGGGTCAACCAACTCCACTTCCTTACTGATTTACTAGGAGAACATGGAAAGCACTGACCCCTTAGATCAGGGGTGGGCAAAATACAGCATGTCAGGCCATTCTATCCGACCTGTGGGGCCCCTAAAAAAATATTTAGAAAATGAATATTGATCTGTCCTTGGTTCCTGTCAAAAATGACAGAAACGAGGGTCTTAGGACCCAGGGGAAGCCTGGCCCTGCCTCCCCACAGCTGGAAGCACCAGCAGGGCTTCTGGCCTGGGACCATGTGGCTGTACCAGCCGGAACCTCAAGTGGGCGGTGGGGGGACCACAGGCAGGGAAGGAGCCTGGGGGAAAGCGGCCCCTCCCCCACCCCGTGGCCATCGCTCCCTGCTGCAGCCACTCGCAGCCCACATGGGGCTGTCCTGAGTAGGCACAGGCAGCCCCAAGCAGGCTGTGTGTGGCTGCAGAGTAGGGCACCGACCGTGGGGCGGCCAAAGGGCCGCTTTTCCCCTGCGCTCAGATCCAGCTTGTAACCCACACCCACTGCCAGCCTGGGCCCCATGCTGGCTCTGGGCTCGCCCATCAGGGCTGCGCATGTTGGCAGCAGCTGCAGCCCCCACCCCGCTCTTGCTGCACTGGGCAGTGTTTGTTGCTGTTGCCCACCCAGAGCTCACGCGCTGGGCAGCCCAGAGGCAGCGGTGGCAAACATTGCCCAGTGTGGCAAGGGGGGGGGGGGGGGGGGGGGCGGGCGA